ACTTCTTTTGGACTGATGCACTGCAACACCCGCTGAGTGCCATTAAACAGCTTGAAAGATTAAAGACAATTTTTTATATAACTCCGACTAGATTCGTCTGAAAGAAGAAAGTCATATACACCTAGGATGACTTGAGGGTGAGTAATTTATGGACTAATTTTCATTTTTGGGTGAACTAACCCTTTAAGTTCTGGAGAAAAATAGAGCACATGCTGGACAAGGATGAAGCTATCTAGAGTGCAGGTGTCGACTGCCTGCGTTCGCGTACAACTCAAATGGAGTATACTTTGAAAGGCTGTGCGTTCAGCTGTACAAAAACGAAGTACTTAGGGCTTAACACTCTAGTGGGCAGGGCCAAAGATGCAATGATGTAGAAGTAGGCATTGATCTGATTCTGCAGAGGCAGGCTTTCTTTTCACTATTACGTCATAATGTGACAAAATCTGAAGCGAGTCATTTTTTAATCTTGCTTTCAATAAAAGCTATTTTTGGACTAATGAGGAAGTTTTGAGCTCTGAAACTCACAGGATGTTTTTATAGTACAATAACCTCTTACATGTCAAAACATTAAGGAAAATTGTATTTCTCAATTCATGACCCCTTTAAAATTCAAACATAAATTTAAGGAAGGAGATCTAAAATGAACTGAAAATTATTTTATTTAGCTAGAAAAGCAAACTTTACATTTTAGCTTGTTTGTAAGATTTGAAGGAAGTTTTATAGACAAGAAGGATGGATGGATATTTTCTTTTTATTTTATATTTAGTTCATATATAATCTTTCATATTTAATAAATTCACTTTTGTGGATCAGGGAGAAAGAATCTTCATTTCTCAGAATGCATTAGGGGTGCGTGGGGCACAAACTAACACAGGGTTAGTTGTAACACACGGGTTAAATATTTCCACACATGCTAGCATAACAAAATTTATGGTATTTGCTAGGTGCCATATCAACACTATACAGAGAAAAAAATTTGCTAAAATTCAAAAATCTTTTGAAGATATCACTGAACATTTATTTTACCATAAATTAAACAATTTAAAATGAAACAAATTTGCTATTATTTGAATATCAAATCTGTTATTTAGCAGTTTAGATCGTTTTTTTAATGCTTTGCTAACTAGCAGAAGACACTAATCAGTTTTAAATTCCAAATGCGCAGATGGGGAACATTGTAACAGTGCGTTACAATGTGCCCCGCTATTATTAGAACTATGCTATTCTGTGACATTAGCGATGTGATTTACACTATTTACATTCATGAATTTTATTAATAAACCACGAGCAACAGGTGAATAAAGACTGAGAGTCAATGTATATTGTTCAGAAATGATTATTTCAAGAAATGTAAAGCATTTTGGCTCAATTATTTGTCACATTTATCTGTTCTGTGAGAGCTGTGTGTGGAAGGAGGGAAGTGTTGCATTCATCTTTGTGTTTTTCTGAATGTCTGAATGTGTTTCTTCATCTATTTGCCCACACTGCTTTGAACTATGCTGTATAGCTGTGTGTTGCGATCAGGGCCGTCCCAAGCATGGGGCCCTGGTTGCAATGTGTTCATTGTCAAACTCCAAAATAAGATTAAAATAAAATAAAAATGCCAATATTTTATTTGAAAAAGTCAATCATTTTATTCTATTGACAAAATATTTTAGTTTGTCTTGTATATATTTTTTTTCATTAGATCAGGTAACATTTTAAGCTGTCATATAGTCATGTTACAACGTGCCCCCCAGATGTTACAATGTACCCCACCTATGGGGCATGTTGTCACATTTCACTTCCTTTCTTTTGGGGTAAATAAAGAAAAAAGTATACACTTTAATGATCAAAAAACACATATTTGTACTAGACAAGTGTGAAATTAATGTGGAAAAAAATTATATTCCGAGTCTGAACTCCATGTGGATTTTCACAAAACTGAGAAAGTCAAAAAGAGTTAGGTTGTGCCCTGCTGTCCCCTACCTGTTACGAATTTGTCCCCTTCCTGTCATTCCAAATGGTGTAGCCAATTCAATTCAAATTCACACTCAGGAATTGAAAAGGTGCTAATCCTTTAAAGGGGTCATATGATGTTGCTAAAAAGAACATTATTTTGTGTATTTGGTCTACTCTACCAGGATCAGGAAACAGTCCTCCATAAAATGTGCTGCACACATCTGAATATTGGGTTGAACTGTTCTGGAACAGTGTTGTAAATACAACTTAACCACTGATTTCTAGTGGTGTCCTCTTTTGGAAGGCCAAACAAAGTAGTTTCGCTTTCACAACGAAACACAGTGTCACACACGGCGGCCTTGAGTGCACGGAGGCCTGCGGGCTAGAGTGAGCGGCGGCCGGCGGATTCGACAAAGGAACGGCCGGCGGGTTTGTGGCAACCACATGTGACGACCCCGGGCTGGACTCAGTTTTAGGTAGGCGTGGTTGACTCTTAACTTTTATAAAGAATATATCTTTGTATTTGAGACTTTAGTCTTTGCAATTTTACAGATCTTCTTTATGCACCAAGAGCTTGTAACACTTCAAAGAGAGAGGAAAAATTGAAATCGCATCATATGACCCCTTTAATTCTGACTTTTGCACAAGGCTGATTTTGGCATTCAACAACTAGACAGGTCAAAACAGATTAAAGAACAACAGCCTACCCCGACAGCTGGATTGGTGAACACTTAAAACTCCACACTTGTTCTACCCAAAGCTTGTTCTGATTTGTCTATTGTTTTAAAACTAGCTCAAGTGCTTAAGTTTAACTACAGTATGTTTAAATTAATAGCAATATTGTTACATTTACATAGCATTCACAGCTTTTTAGTGGGTGGTGGGATCTCCATTAACACCACCAGTTTGTAGCATCTGCCTGGCTGAAGCAAGACAGCCATAGCGTGCCAAAACGCCCACCACACACTGACTGTTGGTGGAGTGGAGACCAAGTGATGGAGCCAATCAATTTAAATAGTAGGAGGCTTTGATGGATGGAGGCCAAAGAGCAATTTTGGCCGGCATGCCAGGGTTGTAGAAGCCCAGAAGCCCCCTGGGATTGCTAATGACCTCAGAGAGTTAGGGCCAGTTTAACATCTCATCCGAAAGACTGAGTCGGCCACTGGGTGAGCACTCCCTGCTGGCCTCGCTAACACCTTGTCCAACAGCAACCTAGTTTTCTCAAGAAGGTCTCCCATCCACATACTAACCAGTCTCAACACTGCTTCACTTCAGTGAAAAACGGCCTTTCTAAACAAGACACCAACAACAACAAAGCTCATCGTCCTTGGTTTTAGTGCGCAGACACCGCCAGAAGGTAGGCAACGGCAGTTTAACTAGAACGTCAAGTGTGCAACTCTTCTTAGTGTGTGAGATCCACTGCAGCTGTATCCCAATTCAGAGGCTGCATCCTTCGATGGCTTTATTTGAAGACCACATTCAAATGCAGCCTCGAAATTCATCCTTCATTTCCCGAGCCATCAAGTATACAAGAAATGGATTCCTCATGGCCCAGACTATCCCAAAACTCATTGCGCACTGGCAACAACAGGACTTTTTTGTTTTGTTTTGTTTTTTTTTGAGAAAAAATGCTGGGTTACACTTTTAAATAATTATTGGGTTTCAACTTACTTAAATATGTAATGGTACAAATGTTACAAAGTTGTTTAAAGTGTTGACTTGTATCTTACTAAGATGCAATTTTAGAGATAGTTTTTACTTTTTATTATGTACAAATGGATCAAGGTTAACATATTTAGACAGGATGTGGACCCTGTTTTGTTTTCAGACAGCTGAATATAACTTTAAAAAATACAAAAGTCCAGTATAAACGTTACTGCTGCTTGTCAATGGCAGCTGGTATGGTTGCAGGGCAACAAGAGCCATGCTCCTTAGGCCAGACCGTCCCATTTAACAACACTCGGTCTGACCTTCATGGCCTTTGAAGGCATAGCCTTTGAAGTCTCCGTACTTAGAAGAATGCAGCCCCTGAATTGCACTTAAAAATAGGTTCCAAAAGGTTAAAAAAAAAAAGGTTCCAAAGGGGTTTTCACAGTGATGCCGTAGAAGAACCATTTTGGGTTCCCCAAAGAACCTTTCAGTGAACAACCTTTAAGAACCTTTTTTTTTTCTTAGTGTAAAAAACATTTTACTAATCTAAAGAACTTTTTTCAACTATGAAGTGGAAGTTCTTTGGAGAACTTGGTTCTTCTAGCATTGCTTTGAAAACCCCCTTTTGGAATCTTTATTTTTGAGAGTGTATGAATGTTAAAGGTTCTTCATGGAACCATAGATGCCAATAAAGAAACTATAAATAAATAAATAAATAATCTATGATTATTTGTGTACAGGGCGCACCAGCATAACAGAAAACAAGAAATAAGAAGTCTTTACATGTGTGACAGGGACACATGTCCAAAAACTATGAGAAAACAGCATTGAATGCAATAGCACATCCTGTGATAACCCCCCTTATTACTGTGAATAAGCAGCTTTGCTGATGCTCACCTCTCCATTACAGTAGCAGTAGATGATAGACACAAAGAAGCCCTAGAGGAAAACAAAAATAGATATTAGCTAAGAAAATTAATGTGTTTTTTAAAATTATTTATGGTGCAGGATAATTTATGTGGCAAAGATTAATCGGTAACACTTTACAGTATGGATCATTAGTTAACATTAGTTAACTAACTACTTTAGTTAACATGAACTACGAATGAACAATACTTCTACAGCATTTATTCATCTTTGTCAACGTTAATTTCAACATTTACTAATGCATTATTAAAATCAAAAGTTGTGCTTGTTAACATTAGTTAATGCACTGTGAATTAACATGAACTAACAATGAACAACTGCATTTTCATTAACTAACATTAACAAAGATTAATAAATACTGTAATAAATGTATTGCTCATTGTTTGTTCACGTTAGTTAATACATTAACTAACATTAACTAATGGAACCTTATTGTAAAGTGTTACCGGTTAATCCTTAGGGTGAGCAGTTTGATCTCTAATCCTAAGTATGAGCAATATTAATGCATTAGTCAACTGCAGAAATGAGACTTTTCTATTTCACAAAAAAAAAAACAACAACACATGTATAAAGACATTAATTTGTAAGTTCGGTCTTGATTTGGTGATAAAGAAATAATGATTAATCTCTGGAAAATGTTCATATGTTATACAGCACAGTTAATTCATGCACTGGTCCATGTTTTTTTCTTGGTCACGGATTTTTCTTGTTTTCAGTGATTTGGAATCATTATTTCCATATTGGGTATTTAATTAGTTACAGTTGACACTGACCACCTGTTTAGTTTATATATTATATTTAGCAGCATAAAAACAAATGAAATGCTTCTGCATTTCATTAAATCATTTTATTGCATTACCCAGTTCTGTGAATGTGGCTGTGTTTCTGACGATACCATAAGTGTAAAGGAAGTGATGTATTCTTGATGGGAAGGACATGCATTGAATCGTGTCATCCAGCTCCAGATAAAAAAACTCTTAACCTAACCAGCACCTGTCATTTAAGACAACTGAACTTCTCAGACAGAAATCAATGTGGTGTGTCATGAGATGTCAAGCCTATTTGGAGTGCTGTGAATTGGATTGACCCGTCAATATATTTCTCTGTCCTACATACTATGTTTTATTTTGTGCAGTTTGCAACGAGAATCTACATGTCAGCCTAATTCCCATCAACATCTGTGGATCCATATTAATCAAATTTACTAGTTGTAAATTATTACCATGCATATTTTGTATTCTGTATTAAATATCTGAGCTTTTCCCAAAGAAACCACTTTTTTTTCCCCTTTTCTTTGCAATATGAAAAATGAACAAAATTTGTAAGAGAACATTACCCATTTCTTTAGCAAAGTAGTTTTTTATTTTTATTTTATTTTTTTAGGTTACTTAAATTATAAACACATTTCTTTCATTTTTTTTTTATCAGTTCTTCCTCTGCAACAGTTGAGTATTTTCATAGTACAAGAAATGCTTTTTAATGCACAAAAAATGTTTCATTGCCAGAGAATTTTTTTTAAAATTGCACATCATCTGTGGCTTGTAAATAGTGTTTTTCCTTCTCTTTTTTTTTGTCTTTTTCTTCCAAATCAATATTAATATTAATATGAATCAATATTATATCAACATTAATCAATGCAAAATGCATGCACAGCATTTTTATAAATATATACAAATTTGAATTTATGATTTTTGGATTATCAAAAGAAAAACATATGCATGTTGACTTTCCGAGATCACTGATTACATTAGCCATTCATAAAGGCATCGTTTCCATGCAAGTACCTGGAAAGAATTGAAGAACAGCTCACAATACATTCGCACCTCCCAGCCAAGACCTTCGAATGTGTGTGGCATTCCAACAAACACAATGTAGTGCACTCCAAACACAAACACCAACACAAGTGTAGATTTGGCAAGCTTCCTGAAGAGAGAGAAATGGAAATATTGTGTGAATGAAAGGGATAGTTCACTTAAAAAATTCTGTTATTTACACACCCTAGTGTCAAAACCTGTATGAATTTCTATCCTCTGTGGAACACAAAAACAGATACTGAGGTACAGTTACATCTGTACAGCAACATTCAGAGAGTGAAATGCAGTCATCTCATTAGGGATCAGCGCGATCTGGAAATAACATGGGGGACACAAGGCGACAAATTTCCCCATACCCATTTCCCATCGGATTCAAGACTGTTGAACTTTGAGTGTGCAATTTTACTGCCTTTACCAATACAATAAAATACATACCAGTATTACCAATTGCCGTTTACCAAACCAAACACTGCTTGGTTTGGAAGTGACTTCTAAGTAAGCAGTGCTGCATGCATCGCTTTACTATTGACAATTAACCTACTTTGGTACAAAGTTTCACATTCACATTCTGCCTAACATCTCCCTTTGTGTTCCACAGAAGAAAGAAAGTCATACAGATTTGGAATGACATAAGGGTGAGAAAATGATGACAAAATGCATTTATATTGCAATTAAGTGATATGTATGCACAGTTTCACCCTGTTTATAATAACACAGAATTTTTACTGCCATGTGACCGCCACTGAAATATCTCCAGTTAAGCAACATGTAAATTTTTTTGTGTAGATATTTTGTATAGATATTTTGTGTAGGCCAATGATGCCAAGTACAGAGTATGACGTAGTTGCTATATTATGAATTCAGAAAGTTTGTCTTTAATCTTTGTTTGATGGATGACATCCCACGCACCTCTGTGTGGCTTTAATCAGAATAAAGACATGCGCAACATCTTCTTAATGGCTACGCCTTGCCTGCCAGACAGGTTTAAATGTCTTGCAAATTAGTCACGAAAAGAAACATGAAAAATAATTGGGAAAAAGCAATGCTGGAAGATCCTGAGGTATAAATCCTCTTTTAATTGAAGCCCGGCTACGTTTGATCAGCCAAAGTGTTCCAGTAAAAGTAGCGTCGTACTAAATGAACGTCAAACGATGTGTCGTGCGAGTGTACAAGGTCATTTGCATTACAGATTTATTTCTATTCAAATTAGAACAAAGCTCTCTTTGGCTGAGCAAAACAGACTATTTGCTGATGTTGGTTTATAAATATGACTGTCTGTGTCTTCATGTCTTTCTACCAGCTTTGCAAGCTGACACCTGTGGCTCTTTGTACTGCTAATTAGCAGGGAGGCAGCAATGATCAAATTGATTACTGTTATTAGCGAAGCAAAATGACATCCACTGGCACTGTGTTTGCTCCAAAACAGGATTCTTTCAGGGTGCATCCAGAATAACATTTTGACATGCCAGACCCAAATATGCCTTTATAGGGTCTAAAAGCATTGTTTTTCAAAGCCAGACAAAAATGGAAGCCAAAATGTTTCTTTCGGCGTGTAACAAGATCAAATCTATCATATCCAGTGTATTTAAAATGTGACACTGATTTCAGCATATGATGGAATGATAGAAACCACAACCTGAATCAAACTGCAGAATGAGTAGGAGTAGGGGAAGCTTATTATCGCATCTCTTAGCCACAGGCAATTCTGCCTCCAAGCTGTCAGATGAAAGATTTTGCCTAAATTACATAAGGAAATGAATAGCTGCTGTAGGGACAGCTTCCACTCTCAGAAATCTAATAGCAGAGACGATGCCACGGTAATGACAGAGACAATTTGGGCTGGTACAACACTGAATTCAAAATTTCAAGGCACTTAAATGCATGAAAGTCCAGAATGCCCAGTGGGAGTGAACGCACAAACCTGTACTGTTTCCGTGTGTCGTATCTGCCTGCGTTGGTCTCGCGGATCTTGGTGGCGAGAACCCGCACGATATTCACGAACAGGATGAAGTTCAGCTGAGAGAGAGCAAAGAGAATGAACTGAGTAAAAGGAGACAGCTAATAAAATCCCTTCCCCCACCTAAACATAATTTGGGTAACTGAAAAACTGTAAAAAGTACTGAGGATTGATCCATTATGCATAACTGGACAATAAAGCCTGTCAAAGGAGGTCACCAGCGGATGACCGACTAAGTGATATGATTGACTGCTTTTTCCCAAATGAGTGGGGATGTCATTTGAAAAATGCTAATTTCTATCTGCTTAATTATAATGAGTGGGTTATCTGTGCATGAGATTTTGAGCTCAGTATGAATCAATAAGACAAACAAAAATGCATTCTGTGAGCATAAAAGCATTTATGGTATTTGTAATTCAACATTTCACATACAAAAATAACTCAGCTAGATGCATTATTTGGTGTGTAAATTTATTCAGATATTAAGTTATTTAATTTTCTATTATGCATATGTACTTACCAAGTGTTTTGGAAGCAAGTAAGGCTGAGATATAGTAGCATGAATAATTAATGAAGAAACAAAATAGCTCTACAAACACTGGTGTTGTTGAACATCATGAATTATGATACAAAGTAGTGTGCACATGATTAAGGAATGCTTAAACACACTTCTTGTAGATTGCAGGATCTCTAGCGGGAGGCCCTAACTGTATGTTTGTAGCCCTTTTGTCTACAGGTATAAAGTTCTGTCTCACAGACAGAACTTTGGGAGAAGTTAAGATTCTTATAAGGGTTAAGATATTTTGAAAACCGACAAGCGTAGATAGCTGTTGAAGACCTGCTACACTGCTACCTTCAATAAATTCTTCTCCCCACAAGAACTCTGGTCATGCTTACTTATTTTATGTAGTAGAGAAATTTAGTACATTGGTGAGCCACCCAAACCACTGCTCAGCCAAATACAGCAAAATCTAACAAAATTATATTATGTAAAATGTTTTAAAGTTATATTACTTAATAAACACTTCTTATTTTCAAGTTTCCAAACAACCTTTCAGTAACCACAAAGTCACTTTATTATAGATTTACATATCAGAACGAATAAAAACTTGCTAATAAATGTTTTGTTATAAAACAAAAAAACTTTATGATAACTAATGCTCGGGTACAGGGGCGGCAAAAACAAAACAAACCTCAACAGATTGCACTGTGAAAGTTACCCGTAAAAACTAACATAAACAGGTTGACTGCATAGCAGTGTCTGCGTACACACATTTCTATTCCTAAAAAAAGAACAAAGAAGACATGAAAATTACTAAAAAGACAAAAAAAAAGGTTGTGAATCATTGAATGATTATAAAAATGATTGAAAAAAACAAACTGAAATTAATGTACAGAATTTCCAGTCTTTCGTGGGCCTTTTAAGTAAATTGCATCTTCTCAAACCCAGTACTGTTACTGATGATTCCAATTATTATGTATAATGTACTGATGTCTAACTAATCTTTCAGCTATGTGATTACCTGCCTGCCTCTGTATCCTTGAGGATGCAGTAATGAAAAATTAGCTGATTGTACTGTAGGTAGAGCATTATAAGACGACCTAAACACCCTGAACTTCAAAGGTTCTATAGTGCAAGATTCTTTTCAATTAATAATACGGCGAGGAATAAAACAAGTATGTCGGACACATGTTAGGTGTTAGATATCTATTCCATTACCACTACATTTGCAATTAAATAGATTTTATTACAAGGGCTATTCACAGTAAGTATAAAAACATGGATGCAATTTACACTGAGTGTAAACAGTGGCAGATAACATTTGCACCAAGTAAAAATAGTATAAATACCATCTTATTTGCACCAAGATGTAAATAGCAACAAATTATATTCATACAAAGTGCCTCTGCCAGCATGACTAAGAACAACAAATGAAGAGTTAATTTGCAAAAACCGATAAACGCCACTTAAAAAAAAAAAAAGAGCTGATTGCCGTGCATTATTCTCCACATATAGCGCGATCTGAACCCTAAACACGTTTTGTCAAAAAAGCCGGCTTTGTCCACTTTCAATGCATTGCGAGTTTACATTTGTGACCCTAGACCACAAAACCAGTCTTAAGTGTCAATTTTTCGAAAGGCATCGCAAGTTCATGTTTTACTGCAGAAGCCGACAAGCGCCCTTGTTGTTTTTGAACAGAAGCCGATAAGTCCATTTTAGCGAATCAGCTCACTGTATTCAGGTCAGGTGACAAGGCTACTTTAACTTTGAAAAGACGTGCTAGCTGAGAGGAGTTTCGTCAAAGCTGACTAAAAGTGATAGAGGATGGATCATTTCGACGAACTTGAACCTGTGATATCTTCTTCAGGGCGATAAAGGAAAATAAAAGCTGAAACGTTTTCACGGAACCTTGCAAAAGCAGCACGTTACAATGGTGAGGGAAAAGTTCCGTGTATTGTGTGTAATAACATCCATAACAACAACAACGTTTGTCAGGTATCTACATTGTCATCTGAGGAGACTACAAAGATTAAACGAGTGTTTTTTTAAACTCTAAAACATGAAATGTGGAGTTATCTGCTTTTGTCAAAAAACGACTGTTGGAGTTAACTTTAATTTTGTAAATTACCTGTATTTGTTTAAGTTATTATTACTTAATCAAAACAACCCAACTGCAGTTTGATTGATATTACTTGGAATGCGCAATAAAAATAAAATAAAAAAAAACAATGGAGTTATCGGTTTTTGCAAATTAATTCTTCAAATATTGTCCTTTAGAAAGTCTGTAACCCAAGAATAAATTCTTTGATAGTCCGGTTCTGTAGAGAACCAACCATCCTGAGTCAAGTTCACCCCTGCTCACAGAGTGTCATGATGGGATCCATCAATCTCACAGCTCTCCACTCTGTTCATGACAGGACACTCAGGAATACATCAGCAGTGACCCTCTCTGCTACCTGGATGGCAGTAGATTGCCCAGAAAGCAGTTAGCAGCAGGCAATCAACAGCAGCTGTGAGGTCCGGAGCCATACAGAAACGATGGTGTCATGTGACCAAGCATCAAACTGCTGGACCACGCATACTAGTGATAGACCTATCTGCGCTAAGATTTGCTGAGAAATATCTGAATCTGGAGTGATAAAGGATGAGTACTAAACATTTCGTAGTTTGCTAGAAGTCTGTATTTAGAGTGGAAAAGAGGCAATAATTAAATTTCAGTGGCCTTGACTGAGAAGCAGCTTTCAAAATGCATTCACCATGTAACCATTTAAAGCTAAAATAAATTATAGTTGACTGCATATATTGAATCACAATATATAATATATATTTTATAAATAGGTGCATGTACACTATAGTTTGGAGTCTGTAATTGTTTTATATTTTTGAAAGAAGCCTACCATACTCATGAAGGCTGCATTTATTTGATTAAAAAATACAGTTTAAAATAACTGTTTTTATTTTATAATTTTATTGAAATGTAATTTATTGATGGCAAAGCCGAATCTTAAGCAGCCATTACTCCAGTCTTCAAAATCATTCTAATTTGCTGATTTGCTGCTCAAGAAATATTTCTTATTAGTATCAATGTTAAAACGGTTTTGATCAATGACAATGTTGATCAATATTTTTTTTTTGGAAACCATGGTAGTGTTTTTATTTAGGATTGTATGAAGAATAGAAAATGTAAAAGAACAGCATTTATTTGAAATAGGTTTTTTTTTGTGACAATGTAAAAGTCTTTACTGTCACTTTTGATAAATTTATTGCAAACAAAAATTATTTCATTAAAAAACCTTTTAAGTGACCTTTTAAATTATA